ATATATATATCTTGTTTTTCCATTTACTTGTAAGATGCATTTGTGTCTCCTAAATGATTTTATGTAAATTTATAATTGTTTGCTTAGTTTACTTTAAAACAAAGGCACAGGTAAGTGTTTTCCTCTTTGCTCAGCTGCCCAGCATCATTCTTCAAACCCAACCCAAAATAGTCAGTCTGACCAGTTACGTCTTTAACAAACTACGCCCGTACACACACCAAAACAACTCCCACATAGTTACTACAGAAACCCCCTTTTTGAAATATTGGTAACAACATACAACATGGTATGTTTGTGGTAAGTACTATGGTATGTACCAGGTCAGTATCAAATATGTACCTGGATGCAGTTATCCTACGCATTGTTATCTTTTACATACTGGTGCTTTGCTGGTATGCACTTCTGCACTTATCATGTACATGCCCAGTTAGTTCCAGGTAAGTACAGGGTAAAAAGTCACCAGGTAAGTAACCAGTAAGTACCCAGGAGGTAGCAGGTACGCAYCACCTAATATATACCTGTTACTTCCCTGGCATGTAATATTTTTTTATTTTATTTCTTTGTTCACAATGAAGATCTGTCTGATGTCATCTTTTTAAAATACTTCTCTTTAAAAAAAATTTAAAATCTTTTTTTTGTGCGTTTCAGGATTTTGCCATGTTTTGCACCTCAGCACCACCATAAAGCTGGGAAGCAGTTGTGTATATATTTACTTCTAAAAATCACGAGTGTTCCACCCAAAACATTTCTGCGTATACCTTTGTAGTAAGAATACGTTACCAAAATAACATGATGCAGGATTTTTGACATAATTCCTGATTTCTGCTTAAAAATATGTTTTCTTTTGATTCAAATGAAGAAAACACGGGAAACAAAGTTCAAGTCAACAGGCAACTGAACAGGACTTCCTCTGAGGCAGAGCTGCAGGTAAAGGTGCTTTCATCACGTACACATCTACTCAAAACCTAAAAGTTAATGCTCCTGTCTATAATGGAGTTCATGAAGGTGCAGCTGCGCTTGTGAATACAAGTCTAACTTAAATGTGCTTCTAATCTGATTTTTGAGAATTTGCCACAAAAATRACTTCTTTAAAATCCAAATCAATTCTGATAGTGACAAAAAAAGTTTCAAAACGTTAAACTGCAGAGAAAATGAGAAAAGGAAGACTTTTAAAACCATCAAGTGTCAATCTTAACTAAACTGAACCTTTAATAGAAAAATGTGCAACAAAAACTTTACAAAACTATCAGAATGGAGGACTGCTGTTAAATTCTGTAAAATAAACTCTTTTTCTGGAATGTTTTCCTCAACGGCAGGATACAGTCGGTGTTTCTGGATATGTTGTTGTTGTTCGGCTACATTTGACGCRTTTGTCTTTAGTTTGCTCCTCCAGCTTCAGTCTGGCTGACCGTTCTGGCAGCCTTTCAGGAACAGCTCGTCCTGCGACGGATGTCCATCAAAGCCGTCCATGTAGAGGCTGCTGGTGCTGCTGCCGCTGCTGCCCAGGAAGGTCCCCACCGCCCGGCCCTGACGGGCGTGGCCGACGGCGTCGCTGAACACTTTGTTGATCTGCTCCTCAGAAGGCATCCACCAGTCTAGGTTTGAGGCACAGTGCATCCGGATAAACTCTGGACAGATTTAGATTTTTTAAAAAGTCATTCATTCAGTCTTTCAATCAATCAGGGGGTTTTTGAGGGGGGAGAAAGAAGCCTAACCCTTTCAAAATAGTCCGAAAATTCACATTTTTTTAGCACTAACATGCCTTTAAACAAAATCCAATTTTTTTTTTTTTGCCACATCACTTTGTTTATGATATATTTTTTGTATCAAATCTGATACACTGGGCTGTTTTGGTAACATTTTGCTCACAAGAAATTTAAATTTTCTGTTTCTGATCATGAAAAAAATGCTAACATATTTAATGAATATTTTATTTCTTCAGTAAGGACATCACTACCGGGACAAGCTAATAGTTTAAAGTTATTTAAATATCCTGRCACTTCAAAGCAATTTTCATTTTCTGAAATTTCACAGAGTGATGTTTTGAATACACTCCAATCTCTAAA